GAAGGATTTAAAATTACAACTTTTTCACAAAAAATTGACTTTTTCAACTTAACTTTTGAAAGTGTTCCGGAAAGTCTAGCACTTTTATTTATATCTTAAATTAAAGTTAATGTAATATACATTATCATGAAAAAAAAAAAATTTACATTTTATTTTGTCTTCACGGTGAAATTAGTTACCGAATGCTATTTTTGTGTGAGAATTCTCGATTTTATATTTAAATTTTTAACTTTAAAATGCTATAACTTATTGAAAAGTGTAAGAATCAACACAATCTTTTTATGAGAAATAATATTTATATTCCTCTTTCATTCAACATACTTTATCATAATTAAGATATAAATAAGGAAATAGCAGATCATGTACCTTTTGTCATAATCCACAATTTTTTTAAATTAAACATTATCTATAGATTTGCATCGAAGCGTTTCTTATGATAGTGATTTTAATCTCTGTCAGATATCATTTTACTTGATCCAACTATGCCACGTCATCACTGTGCTGGTGTTTTTTTTTATTACATTAAACAGTGGCATCGCTGTGCGTTGGTCCCAATTAAATTTTGTTTATATAGTTTCAAATTCACATAATTATATTTACACACTTTATTAATTTTAATTAAATATTCATTTTCAATAAATAAGTTAAGTACAGTAGGGTCCAGTTTAATAAAGTTTTTTAGATTAGTATTTGTGATATCTAACAGTAATTAATATCACTGTTGTTAATTTGCGATTTTGTATATTATATGATGCATAATTGAAACAAATATAAAAAAAATAATCATATTCACCAAAAAGTACATATTTTATAACTTAAGAGGTTGAATACTTAGATGATAAGTCATCAGCACATCTTTCTTTTTTTATCATACTTTTTTATAACGTTAAAAAAATTGATTCTATAGAAACTTTCAAAACTAAATACCCTTTATTAAGATTTCCTAATTTAAACATCTATTTCATTAAAATTACACTTTTATTATATCAATAATTTGTGTTTTCTATATTTAGCCCTTATACATTTAAATTCTGTTATTTGTAACATACATATAACATAGAAAATAATGTAATTAAGAATATAACGGTCGATAGTAATTTTTGAACCACTATTTTGAAAGTTATTAATATTTAATTTGTAGACGTGCTCAGAACTACGGAAATGAGTANTATTTAATTTGTAGACGTGCTGAGAACTACGGAAATGAGTACTGATAAAAAACAGAAAACCTGCCACTCATTCCTCTAGTCATAGCATTAAATTGTTAACAACTTCCGGAATAGAAGACAACAGATTTCTTCTTGGATTTAAAACAATATAGTGATATATGTGAAATTTTTATGGAGATATTGAGTTCTATCATTGTTTGGTTATTTAACCAATATATTTATATTAATCAAACAATGATAGAATTTTCGAAAATAAATTAAATGAACACAGTTTGTTTTAAATTGCACTTATACTTTCATTGCAAGACTATGTTATATTTTTTTATGGCATAATATTTTAACTTGAGTATGAATAAATAAATAAATAAAATTTCATAGAAATAACAAAAATAAAACATAATGTATAAAAATTATTTAATTTTTTAAGTCTTATTCAAATTAGGGGGTATTTTTAAATAAAAATAAAATGAGAAGGATAAGTTATTATGTTATTTTTATATAAATTCACTACATATAAGATAATTTGCTTTAAATTAGTTAAACTAGCTTAATTATCTGTCTCCTTAATAAAATTGTTGATGTATTATACTATTTTAAATAAGTTTACAGAATAATAAAAAATAAATAAATAAAAAATTGGACAGTAAAGATAATTTAAAATGGGATCATCATATCGATTTTTCATTTAAAATATTTTTACTCTACAATTTTTTATTTATTTTTTTATTACTCTGTAGACTAATCAAAAATAGTATAATACATCCAAAATTGTATTAAGAAGACAGAAGGTGACTTACTCTTAACTGAAAAACATATATATATATAAGAGTTACCTAAATTAAGCTAAGTTATGTAAACTTATATAATATAAAATCATGTTACCCCATTACCAGCAAGATAACGAATTTGACTTTTTCTATAATTAGTTAATAATTTTTAAAAAAGAAACTAGTATAATTTAATAAAATTAAATTAAATTAAACACTATCTACAGATTTGTATCGAAGCGTTTTTTATGATATTATTTTAATCACTGTTAGATATCATTATACTTGATCTAACTATGTCACGTCACCACTGTACCGCAACCCTCCTGTGTGGTTTTTTTAATTAAAATATATTTATTGATTATTCCTATGTAACATAATAATCAAACATAAATATTTGTTATATTAATAGAAGGATTTTGTTATTTATTATTTATTTAGTCCATATGCGAAACTCTTTGCAAATTTTGCAGATTCGAAATCGGCGTAAAAATTAGTTTAGAAAAGTATATTTTGGTCTCTGATGAAAATTTCTTGTAGACCAGTAAATTTATTTATAAATAACAAATAATTTTTTTTTAAGTATTGGATCAAGTCTTTCAACTTTTATAATATTTTCGTGAAAATTTCAATACTAAATTATTAAATATCAATTTCATACTATATTTAATTGGTATATTAAATATTTATTCTTATATTACACTTATACATCATAAAACTTGTAATCAGGATATAAATAAGGAAATACATGTTCATTTTACATTTGGAATAATCCATCAATTTTATAAAATTGAACACTATCTACATATTTGTATCGAAGCGTTTTTTATGATAGTGATTTTAATCACTGTCAGATATCATCTATACTGTTCTAACTATACCATGTCCACACTCCGCCGCGTCCCCACTGTTTTTTTTGTATTGGGAAACTGATTAAGTTACAGGTACTCTAACAATTCAAATAGTTCATATAAGTGAATAGTCAAACTTTTTATTCACGGGCTTAACATCTCTGTATCATTCCTTTTGTATTTGACAGTGCTATAGTGCACACGTTTTTTGTTTTGTCACAGTTTTCCAATGATTTTCAAAGAGCCATCAACAACAAACGTCAGGTCTTTTCGGTGAAACATCCTTATCATCTGATGGATTCCTTCAAAAATCAAGTATTGTATCCTAAACTTCCACTTGACACGATCACCCACATTATCTACGTTCACATCAGCCGTCCTCATATCGTATTCAATTACATTCCTCCATTTTTCCTCCATCTCTTTTTTGGTCTTCCTCTACCTCTTCTTCCTTCAACATTAATTTTTATAACTGTTCTTACCGTTACTTACTTGTGGTTCTGAAAGCACTCTGTAACAATCAGGTGAATTCAAACTTTGTCCTTGAATGCAGGGAAACTTTCGAATCACAATCGATATTTAACAAAGTTACACTAGCGTAGATACCAAGACACAACGGTGTCATTTGAAATGTAAAAGCTGACTTTCTAGTTATAAAAGGAGCAGAGAACACCTATGTTGGCCAGAACCAATGGTAGGACTCGTAGAGCAATTGACCAAAGCGCTACCCAAGAAAAAAAAAATACTGAAACTAAACTGTAGATCTAATTCTTTTTCTTCCTCGCCTTAATCCCAACTACTTGGGGTGGACCACCCTTATCATAAACTTCCGATTGACACGAAAACTCGTGTCCTAAACTCCCACATCATCTACGCTCACATCAGCTGTTGTCAAATCGCATTCAATAGTATCCCTCCATCTCTTTATGGTCTTCCTTTACCTCTTCTTCCTTCAACATTCATTTCTATAACTGTTCTTACAGCTTCCGATTCCTCTCTCCTCATAACATGCCCAAACCATTTAAGTTTATTTTCTTTCATATTATCTACAATTTACGTTACACCTATACTCCCACTTATATGTTAGTTCCTCATCCTATCTTTTCTAGTCACTCCACTCATTTATCTAAGCATTCTCATCTCTGCTACACTTATTCTCTGCTCTACTTTTTTGTCAACTGTCCCATACTCTGAACTATACATCATAGCTGGTCAGACTACAGTCTTTTAGAGTTCATCTTTCAACCTCATTGAAATTCTTTTATCACGTAACACATCAGATGCTTCTCTCCACTTTAACCACCCGCACTTGATCCTGTGTCTTACATCCTCGTTAATACCACTGCTTTTTTTCACAACTGATTCTAAATGCTTAAAACTTTCCATCTCTCCTATCACGTCCTCGCCTATTGTCACTGGTCTCCTTATTTGATCTACCTCGTGTTCTCCTTTGTTAACTCGTACTCTATGTACTCTGTCTTACTCCTACTTATTCTTAATCCCTTTCCTTTGAGAACTAATCTCCACACCTCTATACTTTGATTAATTTCCTCCCTATTTTCTCCTAATAACACTATACTGTTAGCAAACAACATTCACCACGTTACCTCTCCTTGTATTTCTCCAGTAATTTCATCTTGTAGTACACTTCTAATGGTTTAATTTAATATAGTTTAGAAGTTGTCAGATTTTCTGGACTATTTTCAAAAATTGATTTGAAAATATTTTTTTACATATGTGGATTTCTTTTTGAAATCTTTCTTTTACTTAGGTTTATAAAATTTTCAGAAAAAGTATACCAAATTAAAATTTATTGTCTCAATTATACTCTATTAGAATCGTATTCTGATCAGTGGTTTTTTTTTTATGACTAAGTTTTAAAAGGTAAAAAAAAATGTTTGAAAATGCCGTATTTGGCATAATTTTGAGATATTTTTTTTAATTTTCGGCGATAATAAGTTTAACTAAATTAAAATCGGGGTTTTTTGACATAATGATCATTAAAATTGGTCCAGTTAGTGCTGAGAATTTTCATGGTTAGGTATAAAAAAAAACACACTCCATTACAAAACCAATACCTTCTCAGCTTTGCATTAAAGTTAAAAAGTAATGCAAAGTATTTGCTGGACCAAAAGTTCTTAGATTTGTTAAAACATCATTGATTACATATTTACTTTTAAAATATTTTATTTTATTTTTTATTTTCATATTAACACATGTTATATAATAATAAAACTAATGATAAAAAATATGTTTATATAATAATGATTTTTAAAATATTATTTTTTAATTTGCATTTTTACTTTAACATTAATAAACATGTTTATTACGACGTAATTCTGGTTGTGGTTGTTTAGCTTCGAAGTACTTTTTTGCTCCTTTTACTCCCACACGACCAACATCAATTTCTGGTAACGAGCACAAAATATGGCGAGCCCACTCGGCATTTTTTCTTTGAGTTATTAGAAACTGTTACAACCAGTTATAAATTAATACATTTTAATTTACAAAATAAAGTTAAATTTCTTTAAAACTTTGATAATTAATAGTAATTATTATTGACATGACCACGGCGTTGTCACCCGTTTGACACCCCGTGGTCGTGTCAGCTCCTTCTCAGCCACCGCTCCAATGTAAACTGGACCGTTACACACACGCGTTATTGACATGGTGTTAAGTCCAATAAATGCCTAGCGTCGAATACCCCCCGCAATAATATATTTATATTTTCGAACAACTGTTTTACTTCGCTTTACCATAAGTCATCAGCATTTTTTTCATATTAAAGACATTATTAGTACTTTTGTTTATTTTTGTTTTACTACCTTGATCTAATAAATAGGGTTTCGTAAGTTTGATACACATAAGTATAATTAATTAAAAAATATTTAATATTACAATCTTTTTGTTAATCAAAGCATAAGAACAAATATGTGGTTGTTTTTGTTACTTAGTACTTATAAATGAATAACACAAACGTATTGAAATATTAAACGTGGATTCCTTATATTTTTATAAATAGAACTTTCTATTATTTAGATGAGTAATGACATTCATTATTCATGCCATTATTTGTTTTACAATTTATACTGGTGCGAACTTTCATTAAATTAGATAATTTTTTACAATTACTGTGAGGAGAGAGTAGACGATTGTGTCCTTTTAAGAAAAATGCGCAATAATAAGTGTACCAATAAAAATTAACTATTGATTTATAGGCTGAAAGATAATATTACCGATATTTTATGTTTTACGTTTTTCAGTATTCAAACGTTATTGATAATTTTTTTACCTTAATAGAAATTAACCCGTAATTTCTCAGTTATGAGAATTTCCCTTGCATAGTTTTCGTTTTCTGTTAAGTTTTGTTTTTTATTTCAATTTGATTGTAGCTATGTTTGATGTTTTGAATTTTGTTTAATTTTTTTTCATTATTCACTATTTTTTATGTTTTACGAATCCAATAGTTTTTTGGTAGTTATAACGTTATAACTATAACGCTATGAAAACCGTTTCTAAAGCGTTATCTATGAAAACGGTTTAAAGCTTTGCCTGTGAGCAAGTAATAGATTACTAGATAAATAGATTTAAAAAAAGAAAATACACCTAATAAAAGGGACATTCCTAATGTACTTAAAAAAATTGTACTGATTTATCCATTTTTCAAAAAGTTATGATAGATTAAAGTAAAAAAATGTTAAAAATATTAAATTTTGGGTGAAATGCATATTTACTAGAAATAAAAGGTAGGTATTTTAATGTCTTCAATTAGATACCATTTGTGATCTATATAATTAGTATAATGAGAGATGAAAATAAGTGATATCTGATACACACACACAAAAAATTAAACACATCATAGTAAAATAATTTTAAAAGTTTATAAAATATAAATTATTTTTCAACTTCGCATCGAAGCGAAAACATAAATGATCGTTTACATTACCTCGCGAAAACTTAATTTCCCATCACTATCTTCATCTGCATCTTGTATAAGTCTTATGATAGCCGAGTGAGTCCAAGGAACACCTCTTAACATCATCATACTCTTTAGTTCATCAATGTCTAAATATCCATCATTGTTTGTATCGAATCTTATCCATTTTCATTTTAATTAAAAAAAATAAATAACATAATAAAAATTTCTTATTCGATTAAAAAAAACCTTGTATTATTTTTAAAAACATATGTGTTTAAAATCAAAGAAATAAAATGAGTTTTTATTCATAGTACATTTAGTAGACTAGGAAGCAAGTTCATATAATTGTCATAACCTCGAGGGTTTTGACAATTTCATTATTTTGTCATTTATTAACTTCAGATATTAAATAATGATTATTTTTTTTTGGTATAAAATTAAAATAAAACTAGTTAGGCTAATAATCTTGTGGTTTAAGCCGTATAAAAATAAAATTGGTTAATTAATTTAAAAAAGTTTAAAAACTAATATTTTTTTGTGTTTAAGAAATTATATAATTATATACTTCGATAGATTATATTTCTTTACCTGGAAAAAGTTTTTTCGTATCGCCTTATGAGATTGGGTGATAACTCAGGAAACTCTTTTAAGAGTTTCTGTTGTTGGTAATACGAAAGACATGAATACATTGTCTGATGTTTTAATCAATAAAGTTAATTTTTATTTAAATTGTTTCTTTTGTATTATTTAGAAAACAAAATTAGAATGATTTTAGGTATTTATTCAACTATGTTGTGTGTTAACTTTTATAGATAACACAACCGGATATGAACTAGGACAAACATGACTATTCATTTTTTTATTTTTACGAATTGCGCATTTATGTCTTCTTTTGAATTACATGGTGATTTAGATATCCTCGACCTTGTTATTTTAGTTAGAATTAGTTCCAGTTTTGTCATAGTAAATACTGATTTTGTTTTAAAATTTCAGTAGTGAAAACTAAATTGATACTGCTAACTTATTTAAATTAAAGTAATTATTTTTTTACTTTGGCTCATTACCACACAAAAGATTTTTTAATAGGCAGGGGATTAAGACTATTTTTTGCTTGTCACTTACTCTTACTATCATCAAAGTAATATACTATTTATAATTATTATTATAAATAATACAGCCAATGAGTGTACCTATTAATTTGTCAAACCTCCCTCTGAAAATAATTGCTTAGTTATGTAATTGTAAGTAATTTTCGTTAACAGAAAATTTCTTATTGACAATTCTTATATATTTATTAAAAATTGATAAATGTTGATTTTATTTTACAAAATTTATCTTTTTACTACTAAAAATTATTATAAATAACTAATTAAATATTCAATTAAAAAATACACTAAGTAAAGAAGTAAATTTTCACGTTTATTCGAGTAAAACAATTTTATATAGATTTAAAGTAAATACATTTTGTACATCCATAAATTTAAATCAAATTACATTAAAGTATATAGTAAGGTATATAACTATAGTTATATAGTTTAAATTTAGAATAGATCAATAGAACATTTTTAATTATGTTTATGAGTTTGTATAAGAATATGAAAATTAACAAAATTTGATCGATGCATACATTTATTAAAAAAAAAACGAATAAATAAATTTAATAATTTAATAAAAATGTAATATATATCTTATGTGTACATTGTATGATGTTAAATAACAAGTAATGTACCTGAACGAAATGAAACTATTGAATGTTACAATTTATAAAAACAAATGTAATAATTAAAAAAATAAAATTTGTTATCATTTAAAGTTGACCGGTGTTATTTTGTCTAAAACATTTAAAGAAAAAAAATTCATAAAATTTTAAAATGGTAAATTTTTATATCATTATAAATAAATTTGTATACTTATGTATGTTTTAATACGTTTTTTCAAAGGAATATTTTTAAATAAATAATAAAATTTTCAAATGAAATTGTTAGTATTTAAATAAAATGTTACAAATAAATACAATCACTTTTAGTATAGGCGTAGCAGGAGAAAACAATATATTTGGCCACATATTGAAAAATACTTTTTAAATTAATAAAATAAAATTAAACTATAACTATAATTATTTATGAAATTTTGTNTAAAATAAAATTAAACTATAACTATAATTATTTATGAAATTTTGTGTTTTCCTTTTATCAAACATTTCTGCTTATAGATTTTCTTATACACAGAGAGCAAGAAATGTTTAAATTACTAATTAAATATTTTTTTTAATAATGAATTACAAGCATTGTTTCTAGATAACAATAAAATCATTTTGGAAAGTGGATCTTTACATGTACATTCAGAGCAATTAAATTTTTATAATTATTAATTATTACTTGAAATGATTTTTAATATATTGTTTGGATTTTGTATTTATTGTTTAAAAAGTTCTATTTGGATTAAATATATAATTGCATATTGAATAAAACGATGTCCAGTGATTGTTGTATAATATGTTTTAGTGAAATTTAAGTCTTAATGATTTCCCATTGAATGGTAATGTTTGATTTATTTTTTTTCAACTTCTGAGAATTGGTTATTTGTATCACCAATTGCATGGTTTTTGTTTTAGAATCGTATATTATTTTAAAATTGAAATATACGCCTTTGCTTAAAAAGGAGTTTTGGAATTTGTATTTAGCTAGAATTATATTTTACAGATAATAATTATCAATTATTAATTTAGTTGTTTATATGAAACAGTTATTAGGACATTTTCCAAAATGTATACAAAGAAATAACTAGTAACTTATTGTATTTATATAATATGTACATTTTAAGTTATTTTATTAGAATCGTTATTTAAATTTTCAAATTTATTTTGACTAAATTTACCAATATATTTTACAGGTAACTCATTGTGGTTGTCACTATGGACAATATATATATATCAAATAAACCTCTATAATAAATGCAATAGTAATAATTGAATACCTTAAATACATTAAAACTAATACAATTTGTTTCTTTCGGCATTGCCCAATAACATTAAAAACAACATTTTAAAACCACAATTTATCTTTAACAGTATTTTCTAGATGTTAATTGAATTATTAAAACAATATTTTTAAGCAAAACCTTTATATTAGACGCTTTTTAATAAATTAAATATCAGGGACCAAATTCATGGGTAAAGCGTTTCTCAAGTTTCAATTACTAATATCAGTGTAGTCACGAGTTAAATTTTAATATAGATCACTATTATGATCGATCCTTGAATTATTGCAGACTAGGTACTCAATTTTTTTTTTTATATTTATACTTAATAAATTAAATATAGCATGACTTAAAAATAAAAAGGGTCTGTATCGCTATTTAAACAATAAGTAAATATATACAGAATGCTAAGTAAGTAAGGAAACAGGTAATGAGAATAAACAATGAAAACAATAGAATTCCGTTTCCTTATTTACTGAACACCTATAATTGTGCACCTGTCCACTCATACACACGCCAGTATTGTATATTATATCAAATTTTAAGCTATTACAGAAAATATAAGTACTGAATGAAATTCTAAATTTTAACAATTTTATTTTTTAAAAAATGAATTCTTTCGAAAATCAAAATGTGTTATAAAATTTCTTATAAAAATTATCAATTTCTTATTAATATACAATTTAGGTTGTAGGATCGATCAATAAAAAATAAGTTTGATTTATTAAAAATGTTATCTTTAAATGAGGGTTATTGATTTTTTATGTACCTATTTCTTTAAAAAAACATTGCTATTATATTATTCGTTTTATTCTACAACATCCGAACATTTATTTTAGAAATACAGATGTATAGCTTATTATTAGCCATAACAGTGTTTTATTTAATAGTTCTATTTAAGATTTTGTTACTTCTTAAAAGAATATTTATGGACTTCATTCTTCTTCACTTTCAAATGTTCCGTTTATAACGACTCAATTAAAGAGATGATTAATCATAAATTAAAAAATACAATAAAATATTGTAAGTTGATAGAATACAATTTGTAACAAAACAATTTATTTTAATTAGAATAGTTAGCAAATGAGTAGTTAAACGTTTTAACGAGTTTTTATGTTATTAAGATTGGACCTTCACTGTATTAAGGAATTGAACTCAAGTATCTCAAGTCTAAACAGATACATAAAATTGAACCGTAGGATCAGTCTCCTCCCCTGAAATGATGTTAAATACATGTCTACGTCCGAATAAATACTTAAATTTAAATTAGATTTTTTAAATTTATAGGCAGTTAAAAACTATAAATAATTTACAAATATTACAATTTTACATTTTTTGACTATACAAAACAAGTATAAAACAAGGAGATATTTACATAATAAATTAACAAATATTTATATACAATGCATAAATGTGTAAAATTAATTTGAAAATAACATTAATGAAAATTGTAAAAACTTTTGTTTATGTAAACAGAGTATTTGTATACGGTATACAAAATTAAAAATAATGTAAATTACTACTAATGCGATCTACTTTAGCTTATACACAGCTTTCCTGTTGACTAGACATTAATGGAGTTCTAACGGTTACAATTTCTCTTTGATGATATGGAGGTATCCGTGACGTTATCGCTGTTGTTGATATGCGCTGATCAGCTCTATAACTATTATTGTTATAGCTGACTGACACATTGGCATCCACCTATGAATATTAAGCAGTATATTTTGTAATTAAATTTATTTATTTTCAAGAAAGTGTTATTACTGCAGTGGTATTTTGAAAGGGAATACATGATTTAAACTTTTCAGCCATTTTGTTAATTTAATACAATTAATAAAATTCAAACATGCATTAAAAAGTAATTTCTCAAAATCAATTGTTATTCGTTAATGTTTAATTTAATAAATAAATTATCGGATTAATTGAAATAAATCAGAGTTATTGAATTTGATTTATTACTTTGATCTATAATTCGAATAATTATTTCTAAGTTTTGAACAACCATCTTGAAAAAAAACAAGTATTATCCAGTAATTGTCGACGAAAAAAAATGTAAATATTTTTAAGTGTAACGAGTAGTAATAATGCATTATATGATCAGATTAGAGCATACTAAACGTATAGTACAGGCTTCTGTGTACATATTTTATCATAACGCCACTGCTAAATTGTATGTCTTACATGTCGTAGTGAACTAATAGACTGCCGCGACGTTCCACCATCGACTTGTGTTGTAGGATAACCACACCTGTCATCGTCTGATGTTTCAGCTTCTAATTCTTCATCATTGATATCCATATTTGTGTTCGTTTGTTGTTGGACTACTTGGTATCCAATGTTGTTTCGATTAGAACCTATAAAATAATTATGTGTTAAAATATTTGTTTAAAAAGTATTTAGTATTACATTTAATTTATTATTTGTCTTAAAATTAAATAATTATTGTTCTCTAACATTTTACTTTATAACTCAATATTTTTAACTCGCAACAAAATACGCATATTACATTGATTGTGAACAATTTTTTCTACTTACTTTTGTTTTTGGTAGGTGGTATAAGGTCTGGATTTTTATCCGGGTCTAATGATGCTGAAATTTTTTTATCAGATTTTTGCTTACACACCGCAATAACTGCAGATCCTCCATTTCCATCTAATATACAGCCATTGTTGCCACATAAATTTTGACGCCGTTGTATACTGTGCCTATATGATCGCATTCGTATGGCGCACATAACAACTGATGCTATCGCAGCTGCTACGATAGTGATACCAATTAGTGTGGCAACTATAGGCGTCAAGCGAAATCGTTTTCCAGTACCTATGCCAGCAACAGATGAACCTAAAAAAATTCACTATGTTAAAAATGATAAAAGTAAATGGATTAGGCAGTTATTGTTTCATTTTAAGAAAAAAATTAGGATTTCAGTTAGATAAATAATTTTAAATAGTGATACAGGAAATAAATATTAATAGGATATCTTGGAAGAGGAAGTGACTTTATTTTCTAATTACTTGCAACCAAAATTAAAATATGTTGAAGTTATAATTACAACCATAATTCGAATAGTTGTCATTTATACAAATCAGAATTTAATAAATATAAAAAATAAATACCCTGATAGCAATTAAAAAAAATGTTACAAACATATTTATATAATATAATTTTAGAAAAAAATGCTATCAGAGTAAATTATAATAAAATGAAATATCAAAGATTTATTAACATAAAGTATTTACTTTTATACTAACTTAAAATACATCAAATTAATACGAATTCTTACCAGAAGTAGTTTGTTTGTCAGCAGCGTTAAGCGTGTAGGCTGTTAGCCATGTACGTTCACTGGTACCCTTGGAGTTATGTGCGTAAACAGCTAACCGCAATCCAATAGCTGGAGATAATTGCCTAAGAGTAAAATCTGGTTCGTCAGAAGATATGTTAGCTAACAAAGGAGGAGCAGGTCCATCAGCTGCAACAAACGGTCCATCACCAATTACTGCTGCTAGATCGCCCTCTTCGCCGGTATCGTACGCTTCTAGTATAAATTTTTGCTTTACGCCACCATCAAATCCTTGAGAACACCAAACTCTCAAAGAAAACGGGGTTTGTTCACCGTATGTACAGTTAAATGGTGGTTCGGGTTTTACTATTAATGATAAATGTGTTATTAATGTATGATAAAAAAATCGTGTAGTTTAAAATTTTAAAACAACGTACAATAAAATTATTATTACGACTGGGCTGATATCTAATAATCCGATATTTACTGTTGATAATAAACCGATAACCCATAACCGATGACTATACATTTTAATAATTAAAATAAAAATACGTCATTAATACAATAATCAAACAGAATCTTCAGAATACATCATTAAATGTATTTATAGCCATTTCAGCCAGTTATTGTCCTAAATAATCATCTTGATTATCGGATGTTAATACAATTTTTTATGATATTTGGTATAAATATCGAATAAAAAAACCACAATAATCCGATATCGGCTGATATTTAATATTGGCCCAGCCCTAATTTTTATAATTATACATAAATTCATTTAAAACTAATCCAATAAATCAGTTAATAACTTATAAGATACTTTTAATACTCTAATAATTTATTAAAAAATTTTAATTTATTTCAATATACGGATAAATTGATTGTAATGTGTTAATTTTAATCATGTTGTAAAATAGATGAAATATTTTACTGAAAAGACCTGTGGTCATTTGTAGAAGATTGAGAATACGAATATATTTCCAATAAAACAAGGATAAATAATACGGTACTCACCAGCTGCTATGACGTGGAAGACACAAGGTTCTAACTGCTGCCCGGCGGAATTCGAAGCTCGACAAGTGACTGTCCCGTAGTCACCATCGCTTACGCCGCCATTTCCACCAACGCCGGAAGAGGGTGACGATGGACTGTAGGTAAGCACAGATGACATGCGGCTTTTTCTTATAGCATTAGTTTCCATTGCAGTACTGCCAGAACGCGACTGTTGCAACAAAATATCATTGCTTCCCACATCCGATGCTATAGCTCCTGTACGGTTAAAAGTCCACTTAAATTCATCAGGAGGAGGGTATGCGTCAACTTCACATAAAATTTCTGTATTTTCATTACGGGCAATACCATACGTCAACTTTTGATTGATCTTGCATATCGGTTTGTCTGTTATCAATGCAATGCAAAAAAAAAAAAATGATTACTATAGAAGCCATCTAAAGGTTTTTTTTGTCCAAAACTAGTTTATTGACTAAATGATGATCTTTAGTGCATTTAAAAATGAAATTGAAATCTTTAATTATAGATTGAAAACTTTAGTCTATTTTAATGAAATATAAATATAAAATATTAAAAAAAAAAAATTAACTATAAACGAGTCTTACACATGACAGTTAGACGCACAACATTACTCTCGCCATCTCCCTCAGTATTACTAGCTAAACACGAATAGTTTCCCGCTTGTTGTCTTTTGACGTTTTGAAGTGCCATATCTTTTTGATTCATAATTACACCGCTCTTTACATTTCCTTGGACTACTTGACCCTGCATTTGTACGTTAATATTAACAAATATATTCATTAATAGTAATATGCTCATTAATTCGAGCTTTGTTTAAATTTTGTAAAGTCACTCAATGAAATGATAATATGCACAGTTATAAAAGGTTGGATGTGGAAATTTGAAAATAGTGACGAGATGAATATCACTGCAAAAGAACCCCCCCCCCGACAAAATGATAGTAGATTCTGAATGGAATTTCGTCGCTAATTCGAAATATAGCCTTAGAGTTTTCAGATTGATTTTAGCTTTTGAGGTAATCGCTAATTAGTGAAAATCAAGTAATAACGCAATTAATTGCTCATTAAAAATTTTTTTTTCAAAAAATCGCATCTAAAACTTTAATGGGTACTATTGAAGAGATACTAGCAGAATTTAATGTATATATTTCAAGTTTAAGTCGCTAAACATGGTCTATAAAGTTGATTTTGACAGTAATTTTACAAAAATCTAAGCTGAAATTATCCCAATAACTTTTTTTAACTTAAAATATAATTTTTATATGACTGATCGAAAATATTATAGATTTAAAAAATTAATTTTTTAATATCTACCATTATTAAATACTGAAATAATCATTGTTAACAGTAAAAAAATGTAAAGAGCTCAACATTTTGATATTATCACAATATTTTTATAGAAATTATCATTAAATATAAAATAAAATATATTTTAAAATAAATATGTGGCAAGATTTTTTAAAATTAATTTAAAGTTATTCGTAGAAATATATAGTATACATGTAGTTTTTATTATTATTAATTATATTAATTGTAATTTAAATTAATATAAAAATAATAGAATCGTTTTTAACAATATACACTTATAAAAAAAATGAACTTAAGTGATGTTTTATGCATAAAAATTAATAACATGAGATGCATAAATGAAATTTATCATTATATAGGATTTTCATATAAAATTGATTAAATATTGATGTATTTCATAAGTTTTTATCAAAATATTGATGAATTAAATTTAAACTCATTGAAATTTAAAAACCAATACACAATTAAATAAAATTTTCATGATAATTAAACTTTAAAATAACTTTATAAATCACATTTCAATTATTTCGTGTATCTGTACAGAAATTTGTATTAAATACATGACCAAATTGTATGATAAATTTTATTATCTATAATAATATTTTAAAATAAAAAATATTGATTACAATTAGTAAAAGGTTTTTAATATTACTTGTCTTTCAAAATCCTTTTTAGAAATTGGAAAAATTTTAATAAGAAACTCTTGATGAAATAAGAATATAAACTCTTTAATGAATAAGAAGTTTAAAAAACTTTTATCAACGCTAATATAGTATAATGTATACACATACACTTTGAAATAATTATTACAGTAATGTCCATTGAGGACAGTTAAGATGAGTGGTTTTTCTTAAGACGTTTTCCCGAGAGTCGCAATTATGAAGAAGCGCACGAGTAGTTCTTAAAAGCGCTGTTCTTTTAAGTCTCTTCATTAACATTAACGGCGATAGTGGACGGGTAGAGCGGTATAGAATCGTTTTATGCCCCTTTGTAAACCCATACATACACAAATTATACCCATTATAATAATATTTCTTATACAGTACAGCAATAATTATAATTATGCTCCTAGTGAACAACATTTTATTATTATTTTTTTATTCTTTTGATCATTTTAAGATCTTTATTCGGTTAGAATGGACAAAAACACTATTAAACACTAACTACTAAAAACACTGACTACAGGATATTAACTCAACAAAACACTTACGTTGTGCTTCCAGACTACTTTGTAGGCCGATGGATTTGCATCGATTTTGCATTCAAAATACACATCGTTACCCTCTATAATGTGAGCAGGGTTCATGTTAATGCCTAATGCCAGTTTTAATAGAGGTACATCTGAAAAGTAATAATTTTTATTACTATTCAATTTTATGTTACAAACTAGTCAATATAGCGAAAATCATCGTGCTAGGTTTTGTTGAAATATTACAAAGATGAAAAAGAGTAACGGGTGAGAAAACGATAATACCGAATACTCGAAAACGCAGTATATAAAATCCGAAACCAATACGCTAAAACGACGAAATAGTGTGTAATAATATACTTTAAACTAATTTCATTTCCATTTTAGTATTTATAAATAAACTACTTATACTTATTTTACGTTTCATTTTTGCATATATTAAGTTTTAATGTTTAAATATTCGTTTGAAGAAGTTATGTGAGTAATTTCGCCAATCATCGAATTTCCCTAACTATATTTAATATTTATTCTCGATTAAGTTTTCATATGTTATTTTTGAACACTTTAATTAGGACTAACTAGGTACTGTTTTATTTAATTATTAATTTTCTCAGATAAAAAAAATTTAAGTCTTAAATTTTACTATAATAATACTATACTATAATAAGTCATCTTGTAAAAATGAAAATAAAGTGGAGTATTTGCTCCTCATGACAAAAATAATTATTTATTTATCTATTTTCTTTTTAAGCGTTTGTAAAAAATGTAATTATTTTAATCACTATCTGAGAAAAATTGTGTAAACACCCTTACTAGGTTATTTTTAAAAATATATATAGTTCATGTATGTAATAATTTTATCATAAGAATTAGGATTAAATCCAAGAAATAATAAAAACTGATTTACATGATCCATTATAATTAATTAATCAATAAAATTGCAATATGAAAATAAGTAAAAGACAAAAAAATGTTTTATATAAAAGTTTTTTCCTTCCACTAATTTTTTAACAATAGTAATGTATTAGTTGTATTCAAATATTTATTGAAGGATTATGACTGGTAAATAAATTAATATAGGTTACTATGATATATACTGTAATGTTACAAGTAAAAATTTTAAATATTGGCTACAAAGGATGATGTTTAATGTTTAATGTTTGATAGTGGTATAAAAAAGTAGAGGGCCGCCGACCTACTTAGCGAAACATAAAGATAGACTTAAGTATTTTAGATGTAAAATAGAAAACAAAACATTGAAATCAATTTAATACTCAAGAAATAATGAGAATAGAATAATAAGGCTGTTCAGAAAAAAAAAGAGGGTAATAAAAAGCAATTCAAAGTATAGTAAAAGAGCAAACTGAGAGAAGATTGAATGAAGTAAAGACGCTTGTGTAAAGAAACCGAGTGTGTGGTATGTAAGGCAAAGTTTAACAGGTATGATGAGTTGTACGATACGCTAAGAACAAAGTAAGAGAAAACAATCTAAAGATTATCACTGTACAAGGTGTATAAAAAGCGATGATGATACGAAAAAAAAAATGATGAAATTTAGTATTATGAAAAACTATTAAATGAGGAATATCCAAAAGAGAAATTAGAGGATATCTCGTGGAACCAGGAACTGGTAGATTTAATTAGTGAGAAAAGGGTATAGCAGGCTGTGTCACCAATGAAAAAGAATAAAGCAGTAGGATCATATGAAGTACCAGTAAAAGTATAAAAAAATATTAGACGGTGTTGGCATAAGATGGTTGAAGGATCTTTTTAACAAAATCCTATTAGAATGTAAAATGCTAAAAGAATGGAGGTACCGACATTTAAAGGCAAAGGAGATATACAAGAGTGTGGAAATTATTGAGGCTTAAAGCTTATGAGTCGTAGTATGAAGATTTGGGAAAAGGTAATAAACAATAGAATAATGAGAGAAGCATCAGTTTAACCAGTTCGGTATTTTACCTGAAAAGTCAATGATTTTTTGTGTAAGTTTGGCTGAAAGGTAAGTTCTATAAGATAGTAATCAAAGATATAGTGAGGCTAGCTACAATGTAAGGTTCAGAGTATTGGGCGATTGATAAGAGAATAGAGCATATCTTCTATAAGTTCCTATCCGTTCCAGACGTTGGATATTATATTAGCTATGTTATTTCTGTCAAGTGATGCCCGAAATAGATCAATTGATGTTGTATTGTACCAGTCGCGAAGATTTTTCATTCAAGATATTCGTCTTTTTCCGACACTTCTTTTTCCTTATATCTTTCCTTGTAGTATAAGTTGGAGTATATTGTATCGTTGATTATTTCTCATAATAAGTTCAATGTATTCAAGCTTTCGAGCTTTTAATAGAGCAGATAAGGTGTATAATAGAGATAAGAATGCATAGATATATGAGTGAAGTGACTAGGAAAGATAGGTAAGGAACGAATAAAAGGAGGGAGTATAGCGTCAATCGTGGATAAGATGTGAGAAAATAGACTTAGATGTTTGATCATGTATGAGGAGTGGGGAATCGGAAGCTAGGACAACAGTTATGGAAATAAATGTTAAAGTAAGAAGAGGTAGAGGAAGACCAAAAAGGAGTTTTAATATAACAGTAAAAATGATTTTTCTGAATTTTGGGTATTAAACCTATATTTGGAAAAATTGAATAATAATATTTTCTACTTACAGTGCACATCAATTATCCAAATATCTTCTTCGGCAGCGGATGAACCATCTTGTTTCAGCTGGACCAAATCATTTTCTGCTCGACACACGATTGATTTACCGTTGTCTGATTTTGTTGGACGAAATATCAATGTTGATGAAGTTATATTGCCATCAACTGACACCTGAAATAATATAATGTAAAAATTGTTCATCTAATTTAGTCATAAAATACGGAATTAACTATTATATTCATTAACAATTTATGAATTTGCAACTAAAGTATACTTTTAATATTATTGAATTATAAATCAGCATATTTTTACATTATTTATATTTAAATTAAAAATTATTTTTTAGTTGTATAAAAGGTGATAAATCTACATAAACCAAGTAACTGATTCAAATTCTGGTATACAGAGTGATTTTTTTATCATAATCCACTCAATTACTTACATAATAATAATAATAATTTAAACATTTTTTTTATTACTATCTTTAGTTACACATTATTCTTGAATTATTAACTATGTAATACTTTTTAAGTTCATCCTTTATGCCTGGTAAGGGTGTCACCTTTGTTTTTTTAAATCGTAACACATATTTTTAATTTAATAAAATGTTTGAGTTTTTAATTCAATAGTAAATGGCATTTGAATTTGTAATATAACTTTATTCATTTATTAGATATAAACATTTAAAGTTTCAAATTTTTGAGTTAATATATAGGTATAATACACAAGGAATTACAAATACAGGTAGCTAATTGGTTTTTTATGATATTGCTATAATAGTCACGGATTTTTTATTATCAATTATGACTATCAATAGATATACTTTTTGTATTGTCAGTTAGTGTATTTATAAACTCACAACAATGTACCTTACTATCATTGATAATAACAATGCTGTGTACCTGCTAATATCGATGTCATAAAAAATCAATTAGCTACCTGTATTTGTAATCCCTTGTGTATTATACCTATATATTAACTCAAAAATTTGAAACTTTAAATGTTTATATCTAATAAACAAATTAAGTTTCATTAAAAATTCAAATGCCATTTACTATTGAATTAAAAACTCAAACATTTTATTAAATTAAAAATATGTGTTACCATTTAAAAAAACAAAGTTGACACCCTTACCAGGCATAAGGGATGAACTTAAAAAGTATTACATAGTTAATAATTCAAGAATAATGTGTAACTAAAGATAATAATAAAATTTTTTTTTTAAACTATTATTATTCTGTAAGTAATTAAGTGGGTTATGATAAAAAAATCACCCTGTATATGTACCGAAATATGGCGCGTTTTGGGTTGAGCTATAAAAACCACCCAACCTTGTATACTACATAGGATTATAGATTTTTAAAGTTGAAATTCTCAGTTATTATTGAAAATATAAATTTTCATTATAACATATTTTTATAAGAAATCCAATAGTAAAAATGTTTAAATTTAGTTCAATGTTTGCATAAACCGTAAACAAATTACTAGGAAATCTAAAGAATAAAATTTTGTTACTTTAAATAATTTAATGGTTAGAAAGTTTTTGTAAAACAAAATTAAAAAATTGTTATTCTTAATATCGTTTTTCAGTATAGTTTTAACTATGTACAGTCAACAATATTTTAATGATGTAAGCATAAGCAAAAGTAATGAGCTATTGAGTTAACCAATAAATATGTAAATCGATAAAAAATTAATTACATTGAATAAGTTAAGTATAGACGCTTTAATGATGTTTTTATTATTTTTACTTATTACATTGTTTAGTATAAAAATTTTTATTATCTTAAATTTAAATATAATAATATAATAATAAATTGTTTAAAACTGCAAACAACTTTTTTAAATATTTTCTACAGTGAATTTATTAAAAAAATACTAAAGAATTTTAGTATAAAAGTAAATAAAAAAATTATTTTTTTTTGATAATTTTTGTAAAAGAAAACATTGATTGATTCAAAAACCTACAATAATATGTAGTTAAATTGCCTTTTTAATACAAGTCCCTATTTTTAGTTTAATGATATGATAGAAAAAACAAATTGCAAATAATTTAGTACATATAATATTTATTATTCGACAAATTATTCTATCGTCATTACTTATTAAAGTTTAGCTATTTTTGACCAATTTTATATTTATAATTTGCTGTTTAGTATACAGTAGTCGTCATTTCCTTTCGATGTCACAAAACAAGTTTATTGACAATTCTTGTTATCATATCTATCACTTACGATAACAAGAATAAATACCAATAATAATTTATGGCCCATTGAAACAGATTATTGTTACCTCGGAAATTATGAAAATCAAATTAATTTCTAGTCTAATTAAGATCTTTAAACATTTTTAAAATGCAAATGGTTGATCGAATAAAAAAAGTTATAAGATTAAATTAAAAATGTTTGTATCATCAAACTAAAAATAGTGTTTTTCATTAAAGAAAATTAAAGTTTAGGTTTTTTTACCCTGAAGGTATGAAAAAATAGTCATTTAACTATATATTATTGTAGAGTGTTTTGAATCAAACAATATTTTCCTTTAGAAAAATTGAAAATATTCAATAGATACTGAAAAAATGAGTGTCTTATCCTTAATCGATCACTGTATAATATTAGGTTTTATTCATAATTCGACTCGTAAAACGTAATGTATTAACTAAAGAATATCAAAAAGCTATCATAAGTTGACATCCGTAGCTTCGTCGGTAAACCCTAATCGTTATTTTATATTTTGAATTTATAACCAATATTATAGTATTATTAAAAAACTTTTCGTATAAAATATTACAGAGCTTTGTAATCAGTATATGGTGAATATTATTAAACGTATTTTATGTAGCGAAATTGCTATCCATAATGAACCAAATAACAATAGTATCAACAGGTATATTCCATTAAGTTTTAATATTGATGATCAAACTGTTTTCAAAGATGCCGATATAAAATAGTTTATCCATAAATATATTTAACCAATAAGCTATAAACAAAACATTATGGTACTAGAAATATTATCAAACAAAGGGAATAATTTTGTAGAATAAAGACATTGCAAAAAGACATTTTATCGTTAGTTTTAAAACAATATATTCAGGGGACAATGTTAATAATGTACTTTTATTTCTATCAATAACCACAAAATATTCTACTATTGAAAGAAGAATAAAAAGTAATATTTTATATCATAATTATATATAATTTTGATTAAAATATTATTATGCTTTAAATCATAAATAGATACAAATCAATAAATAGATTACTTACAGATTGAGTTGCATTTAAAAGTTTTTCATTGTCTTTCCACCACGTTATGTTAGCCGGTGGTTTAGAACCATATGCTTGACATTGCACTTCATATGAACGTCCGGCACTTAAAGGTTGACGACTACTCAGTACTTCTACTTCTAATGGTTTAACTGTAAACATTTTTTTAATTTAAATTTTTTACTATTTAGACTTAAATGGTATACAAAAATTATGTTTTATCTAAAATTTGTAAAAAAAATTTACTTTCGGTTAATTGAACGAAGGTAGTAAAGTTATCTAACACTAACTGTAAGTTTAAAAATAATATTGATGGTATGTTAATTTAGAAGAAATGATTAATTATTAATTCTTAAATATTCTGTGCTTTATTGTAATAGGGTTATGTAGATAACTTTTTTATAGAAATATTAGTTTCAACAAGTATTTTTTCTCCTTTTAGTTACTGTTTTACATATTGCAGCTAATGGACTAAATTGTACTCGCTTATTTTCGGCAATACTAGGGATGTTTTTTCTAATATTTTCCAGTTAATTTTTACTTAAGGGAATATAGATTCAAGAGATGTTATAAATTCAAGACAATTATATCATGTTATAGGAGGGAAAAATGTAATTAGGAATCTAATATTACAAATCTAATTTAATTATTGTACATGTATACTGACACAGAAATAACACTTAAATTAATATGGAAGAGAAATAAATAATGTTAGATAAGTATTATAATTACAATTTTACGCGCAAGGAGATATAGGCGAATAATTTGATGTGAAAATCTTATTCTTCGATAATTATCCGAATTAAATAATAATTAATTCAAATTGTTATGCAACCTATTATATGCATGTATGTATACATCTATAATACTTGTACGTATATTATTAATTTTTTTTTAGGACAAAACTATTGTGACTATGTGGTTTTGGTAGCTTATATTAAAAAATTGTAAATAGAGTACTACAATATGGGATGTTTTTTATTTATCTACTCTGAGCATTAAGTTATTTATTCGAGGGAAAATTATACTAAATAAAAATATTAATAGATACATTAATTTATTAAGTAAATTTATGAATGGTGAATATTTAAAGGTGATGATTTATACAACACTTTTCTAAGTAATAGTAATAAAGATTGCGTGTGAATTCGCATTGGATACGCAGCCGATAATGCACTTCTTGTTTAAGTACAAGATTCACGTGATGTAAACCTACTGTTTTAGACAACTAACGGTTCAAGGGAGAGCAAACTACTACTTACCTACATAAACGAAGGTAATGGATTGGAAAAACGATGGTAGGCTACCCGGAAGTCGGCGGTTTGGTCTATACAGTTTAACTAACACTAGTGGTAAGAATTTATTTTTTGGATCCGCAATGTTTCTCTAGCCAGCTAAACCCTATCTTACGAGTTTGTACTGAATCTTTTCATTTTTTTTAAATTGTTTTTTTCATACATTGTGTACAATAAAAGTGTGAACCGTTCAGTAGATTTGAAGTCACGGTCAAAAGAACTTTATTTCCATTTGGTTGACAACGTACATTGCGTTAAAATTCGCTATTTGGTTGTATGTACTAACATAGTTTTTACCTTTAGCCTTCCAATAACGTTGTTTTATGGTTACTAGTAACGGACCAAGTAAATTTTATATCAATTGGACAATTGTAATGTGTTTCAAGTATAAAGAACAAATTACACCCTCAACCCACTAGTCGATTATAAATTTATAGATTTGTCAATGTTTCATCAAACATTTGACTATTTTTCTTCATTGTGAATTTACTAAACAATACAGAATGATCTTTCATCATTGACCATTTAATTAATCAAAAAATAAATATAATGTTGAGAATTTTACTTTCAATTTATTTTAGTTACATATTTTTTTCTTAATTAATCAATTATGATATATTTTTCATCTCTTTTACATGATAAGGGTATCAACTTTAATTTATAAATTATAATATACATATTTAATTAGTTTATTCAATAGATAATGTTGTAATTATGAAAATGACTGGTTTATAACAACTATTCAACTAGTAGGGGAAAGTGAGGCAAGTTGACACTGTTAAGCAACTATTAAATCTCATAAATAAAATATTCATGATAGAAATTTGAAATTTAGTAGAAATACTACTTAATATATTGAAACCAATTGCTAAAAACCTCATTAAATTATATTAGTTATTTTTAGAAATTATTAACTAATTATAGAAAAAGTCAAATTCGTTATCTTGTTGGTAATGGGGCAACATGATTTTATATTATATAAGTTTACATACCTTAGCTTAATTTAGGTAACTCTTAATATATATATATTTCTCAATTAAGAGTAAGTCACCTTCTGTCTCCTTAATACAATCAAAAATAGTATAATACTATTTTTGATTAGTCTATAGAGTAATAAAAAAAATAAATAAAAAATTGTAGAGTAAAAATATTTTAAATGAAAAATCGATATGATGATCCCATTTTAAATTATCTTTACTGTCCAATTTTTTATTTATTTATTTTTTATTATTCTGTAAACTTATTTAAAATAGTATAATACATCAACAATTTTATTAAGGAGACAGATAATTAAGCTAGTTTAACTAATTTAAAGCAAATTATCTTATATGTAGTGAATTTATATAAAAATAACATAATAACTTATCCTTCTCATTTTATTTTTATTTAAAAATACCCCCTAATTTGAATAAGACTTAAAAAATTAAATAATTTTTATACATTATGTTTTATTTTTGTTATTTCTATGAAATTTTATTTATTTATTTATTCATACTCAAGTTAAAATATTATGCCATAAAAAAATATAACATAGTCTTGCAATGAAAGTATAAGTGCAATTTAAAACAAACTGTGTTCATTTAATTTATTTTCGAAAATTCTATCATTGTTTGATTAATATAAATATATTGGTTAAATAACCAAACAATGATAGAACTCAATATCTCCATAAAAATTTCACATATATCACTATATTGTTTTAAATCCAAGAAGAAATCTGTTGTCTTCTATTCCGGAAGTTGTTAACAATTTAATGCTATGACTAGAGGAATGAGTGGCAGGTTTTCTGCTTTTTATCACTACTCATTTCCGTAGTTCTCAGCACGTCTACAAATTAAATATTAATAACTTTCAAAATAGTGGTTCAAAAATTACTATCGACCGTTATATTCTTAATTACATTATTTTCTATGTTATATGTATGTTACAAATAATAGAATTTAAATGTATAAGGGCTAAATATAGAAAACATAAATTATTGATATAATAAAAGTGTAATTTTAATGAAATAGATGTTTAAATTAGGAAATCTTAATAAAGGGTATTTAGTTTTGAAAGTTTCTATAGAATCAATTTTTTTAACGTTATAAAAAAGTATGATAAAAAAAGAAAGATGTGCTGGTGACTTATCATCTGAGTATTCAACCTCTTAAGTTATAAAATATGTAATTTTTGGTGAATATGATTATTTTTTTTATATTTGTTTCAATTATGCATCATATAATATACAAAATCGCAAATTAACAACAGTGATATTAATTACTGTGAGATATCACCAATACTAATCTAAAAAACTTTATTAAACTGGACCCTACTGTACTTAACTTATTTATTGACAATGAATATTTAATTAAAATTAATAAAGTGTGTAAATATAATTATGTGAATTTGAAACTATATAAACAAAATTTAATTGGGACCAACGCCCAGCGATGCCACTGTTTAATGTAATAAAAAAAAACCCCAGCACAGTGATGACGTGGCATAGTTGGATCAAGTAAAATGATATCTGACAGAGATTAAAATCACTATCATAAGAAACGCTTCGATGCAAATCTATAGATAATGTTTAATTTAAAAAAATTGAGGATTATTACTAAAGGTACATGATCTGCTATTTTCTTATTTATATCCTAATTATGATAAAGTATGTTGAATGAAAGAGGAATATAAATATTATTTCTTATAAAAAGATTGTGTTGATTCTTACACTTTTCAATAAGTTATAGCATTTTAAAGTTAAAAATTTAAATATAAAATCGAGAATTTTCACACAAAAATAGCATTCGGTAACTATTTTCACCGTGAAGACAAAATAAAATGTAAATTTTTTTTTTTTATGATAATGTATATTACATTAACTTTAATTTAAGATATAAATAAAAGTGCTAGACTTTCCGGAACACTTTCAAAAGTTAAGTTGAAAAAGTCAATTTTTTGTGAAAAAGTTGTAATTTTAAATCCTTCTCTGTGGGCAGGTAAAGGGTCAGATTTATAAAAAAAATATATATTAAATAAAAGGTACCGACATCATGCATCTATAAAAAAAAAATTATATTGATTTGGTTATTTTTAAAAAAATTATGGCAGTTTTAAGTAAAAAAAATTGTAAAAATGTCAAAATTTACCGATTTTAAAAATCGTAATTAATTTGGAGATTTCCCTCATTTGCAGGGAACGAGGAGATTTTTTTCAATTTTTTAGGATAATGTCTTCGACTAGATACGATTTGTGATTTTTTTACGTAACGTTGAAAGAAATCGGTTCGGTGAGAGCTAAGAAAAAGTGGTAACAGATACAAAAAAAAAAACACATTATAGTAAAATTTAATATCATTTCAGCTTTGCATCGAAGGTAAAAGTTATGTTGTTTTAATATTATCTTATTTGATTTAGAATATTTTTATTAAATGAAATCACTTTATCTTTTTTCGATAAATTTTTTATAGACTTATGCATATAATAATTAATAATATGATCCGTGAAATCATATTATTATAAAATATATTTTTTTTTTTTATAATATATAAAATGCTTTTAAACCTAATTTTTTTTTTTTTAAGCGTTACGTATTAAAAATATTTTGGAAATTTGTAATCAAGTGTAACTGAGTCATTTATTCAGAAAAATCCATGATATTTGCACATTCTTACTAAAATTTTATAAATTTATCTTATAGTTATATCGTTAAATTTGACTGTATCGAGTAGAGAAAGTAAAATTTTTTTTAGACTTATCTACCTTAATGAAATTTTAGCTATGTACTCGTCAATTTAATAAGTTATTAGCAGTCATAAATAGCTTGATACATTTATTATTATAATAGTTCATTTATTATTTTCAATTTATAAATAAATCAATAAGACTTTATAAAAGAATATTTTTTTTTAGAATAAATTATATAGAATTTTATATCTTTATCTGTATTAAATGATTTATAAATATTTGTGTCAAAAACTATTTATTTAATTTGAATTAATTTTTATAGTATTGATATACTTTCACTAATAAAATTATTTGGACTAGATATGTTTTGTTTTAATTATAAAATATAATATTTTAATTATATCAAAAGAATTTTTTTTTTTTAAGTTACTCTTGTGACCGTGAACTAAAATTACTTATATTTATAGATTAGTAATAATAATAATTTTTGAATATAAGACTGTAAAAATTATTTTTAAAAGATTTAAAATCAATATATACTTAGTTATTGGTGAATAAAAGTGCTTAAAAAAGTGTGTACGTTTAAAAGATAATATAAAATAAAAATAGTGCAGCGTTTGTTAATCAATTAAATAACATTTCTTCAGAAGATTAATTCATTATAGTTATATAATTTTTTAAATTACGATAGTTCACTACCGATTACGATTATATGCTAAATAAACACTTGAATAAATATACTATTGTATTATATATTATACTATTGTTCACAATTAAAATATTTTTTTTAGCATAAAATGTATTAATGTTATATTTATTTAATTTAACGCAGTTTTGTTAATGATTTTATGTTTAATATATGAACATGAAAAATAATATAACAATGTTTATTAACTGAAAAATGTTTTTTATTCATCAATTTTTTGTTGTATACTACAGTTTAATTACAGTTTACAGTGGTTATAAAAACAATTATTGATATTATTACTATTAAATACTTAAATATAAAATGGTGATATATTTATGTATTGATTTGCCTATTGTTGCATTAATTCTTAATTTATCTCATAGTAGTATGATAAACAAAAAATATTTCATTCAGTTGGACAAGACACCAACTTGGAAATTTCTGAAAAATGAAATTGTATATGATCAAGCAGGAGTAAGAATGTCGTTGCAACTGTTATTAGAAAAAACTATTGACAAGGATCCACTAGAAAACTATCCAGAAGATTATGATCGAGATCCTAGTCATTTAATTGATGTTGCTTATCAATTCGCTATTCGAAATCGAACATATAAATACGTTTCTTTATTGTTTAATTGTTGCTACAATATCATGTCAATTAATAATGATTATGCTGGTCAAGTTCTAAGTAAAATCAAAACAACTATAAGCGCAATAAATAAAAATGTTAGTAGCAGGTTGATTGTACCGATGAAGGATTTACAAGATTATAAAAATAAGCTTTTCCAGTGTACAGTTTCAAATTTACCAAGTATATTATTAGCGGGTAAGCTACATTTTCATAATATTATAGTACCCATTTTTATAGATCCAATAAGTTCCGAAGTATTTGATTCGAGTGTTTGTGAACTATATATTTCAATCCAAAATTCTAAATTAGACATATGTGCAATTTTTGAAAATGATTCTAATGGAGAAGAACTTTTAGAATGGTTAAAAAGTTTTGTTAAACTTGTGTTAGTAGAGTACAAATGATGTGCAACTTTGATGTATTTTTAATAAATTAAGAAAAAATTCTACACAGATAAACTAAAAAAAATATTTAAATTTGATTTTTCTTGTAATAAAAAAAGTTTTTAAATAATAATAATCAATTAATGTTGTACTTGAAAATCCCACCGTCTTTATCATACAAAAATATTTCATTCGTTATTGTATATATTGAGTGCTCATTGTAGTATAAATGTACTAAATACGATGAAGCGATACGGAATTAATTAAAAAAGGTCGTAGTAAGTAGTTTTGTATAAATGTTAACATTTTCCTAAAAAAAAAAAAAACCATATGATTCTATTGCTCGATAAATATGCTACTTAAAATTATCCAGGAACTCAAATTATACGTGCTGTAATATTGTTGAAATACTTATATATTCAGTGGTGGCTCGTTGGTGCTGCTAGTGGGGTGCGACTTCAAATATAAAACCCCTAGTTATAGATAAAAAAAGTTGTCAATGAAATATAATAAAATAAAGCACATATTATTATTTTAAAAGTCGCATTAGAAAATAATAATAGCGATTATACTATTATAGCAAACGAATAACGACGAGCGTCACGTAGTTAATTCTAAAAATAAATTACCCAATATAGTAATACACTAATAGTTTACCATGAGGACGATGCTGTCGAACACTACTCGTGTGTGTAGGCGTACTCGCATATACTGAGGGAAACAACCTTAATGTACGCGCACGTCAAATGTATTATAACTGTTTTACTATTTAAAAATTTGCATTTTTAATAAGAACATAGAATTATGAATGTACAATTAATTTTCTTCTTTTAATTAATTTTAGTAGGGGGTGCGATCGTCCAAGTCACGAGCCGCCACTGTATATATTAAATAAGTCATGTACTAAAGAGTAATGGCGATATATTGTTGTCCGATGATATAAAGAAGAAGTGAACGTTGCAAATTGTTTATAAAAATGTAGATAAAAACCATTATGGTATATTTATTGAAATAATACTGCCTTAAGTTAAATAAATATTGTAAATGAACTCTATTATTCCCAATAGTATTTCTAAATTAATTAGACTATTCCAAAAGATATGATGCGCATATATATATTTCATTTGAATGTGGATTTTTTTTTTCATATACACAAATATCTACTTAGCGTAAAATACTTGAATTAAAAATAACGTAAATCCTGTCTCATGTGACTTAAAAACCTAAAAAGTGCACAAATAAATTATACTCCAGAGATGGGTACTTTCTTTTAAAGCTTAAGTAGTTTTTCTTTCAAAATCATTGATTATCTACGAAGGGATCGTTGTCCCCCGAGATTTAATGAAATATATGTATATATAAAGGAGTATATTTATAAAAAAAACTTTAAACTTAATTTCGCGAGACTTTTTCAACATTGACGATTGTTAGCTGTAGCAGTATACCATTAAATTATACATTTAGTAAATAATCTCGTGTTTACCCAGCTCGGACCAAAGATACTTCGTAATTGACTGTTCGGGATAAAAAAATTTATACTTACGATACATTTCGATTGTAACGCTGGCGCTAACTGGAACTGATATATTGCTATTGGAAGCCAAACAAGTATACACAGCTCCTTGATCGTTTCTCGTAAGTGAATTGATTGTAAGTTGATTGTATCTAGTCAGCGTTGTTGAGGAAGTGTAAAATGTTGAAGTGATTTCATCTTCGATGTCTGCATCTATTAGGGCTTCTCCACGCCACCATTTTACTGTCGGCTCTGGTCGGCCTGAAAACACATTATTACAGTTTAGTTTGTGTAATATTTTAATTGAAATTTAAGCGGCCATTTAAACTAACTAAAAATTTGCTTCAACATTTGAAAAAAAAAAAAAGAATTGCAATATTACCCATTCCATACAATTTTTGTTCAGTTATTGTTTAAATCTATCTTGAAGGTAATTTTGGTGTATATTTTTCTTTAAGTCGGGTTGCTGATTGCAATTTAGGTTAACACATCTTTATTTGAAATGTATGAATTTTAATTGTAGTTTAAACGTAATTTTTGTTGACATTTTAGAATGTTTTATGAAAAGACTTTATAAAATATTGTAAATTAAATAGTCTCACGTAATCTACTCCACCCTTAATAATAAACTGAAACATTTAAAATGGGTTTTCCATAAATTTTTATATTCTTTTGTTGTTTTATTATATATTTACTATTTAATTTAGGTTCTTTTTAAAGGGTCATTCAATTTAAAATGATATTCAATTAACTAATCGAAACGGGACGTACTCCCGTTTAAAATAATTTTAAAAATATTTTCAGCTAAATAATTAAAATGAGTTGGCTTGCTCTTTATAACTTAGTTTATGGTGAAATTAAGTCAAACAATTACTTTTTTATGTTGTTGTATAAAATTAAAATAATTAAGAAGATTTATTGTTTTAAGGAAAATAATACCTGGGATATTAATAGCTTTTAAAAATAGTGACTGTAGAAATTGCAATGAATTTTTAAATTAAATTATTTCCTTTTGAATATTTTAATTATTAAAGTGATTTTTTTATGGACAGCTATAAGTCATTGTTTATTATACTTTAACAATTTTAATCTAATATCTTCTGGGTTAGGTGCTCCATCATATAATTCATTTTAATCAAAAGCCATAGGAATATTTTTGTTTCTCGAAAATAAATAAAAAAATATTTAATGTTGAAAATTGAAAATTATCTCGTGAGTTAAAAATTGCTATGAATGTCTGTATCTATATTTTTGAACCAAATTAATCTATTGCACTACTTGAATTGCTGCGTTCCAGAAAAATTCCAATAAACATTTTAATATTCACTGTCTTAAGATAAAGATGGGGTTTACCAGCAATTAGGTAAGAACGTATCTTGATTGCGTACGCGTGCAATTTTTTATTGTAGTGATACAAAACGCGCTTGACTTTTATAACGCGTTGGGGATTCTCGACACGATCACCTCACATTCTACAAGAGCTGATCCAGAAGAAAATCCAAAGCGGAATTACATTACAGCAATTTTATAAGAAAGATAAAGAGAGTGTAGTGGTGTAAAATAACAGAAAAAATTATTCTTGTTTGCAATAAAGATATTATGCAAAAACGAATAGGCGCTGAATTTATACAAATTAAACGTGCGTTGCAGTGTGGGAGTAAAATTGAGTGGTGCTCACTTTAGTTTCATCTAAATGCTTCTTGAGATTAACTTAAAAAATAATTTAAATGGTTTACGCCGAGAAAAAATAACGAAATATGATTACGAAACAAAATAATTTCACAAAAAGGGATTTAAACTTTTAAAATGTTTTTATTTATTAGGTTTTTTACGAACTCAGAATTATTTTTTCACGATACATCTTTTACGTCGATGATTACATTTTTATGATCATTAGTATGGTTTATAAAATGAATTTTAATAAATCAACAGAATACAATAGAACCTTGTACATGTTTTACTTGTACAAACAAATACAAGAAGATTTATTTTAATGATTAAAAATAAAAAACTTTAAGAAAATAACTCTTTTTGAACTAATACATTTTATTAAAGAATTGACATTAAAATTAATAAATTATACTAAACTTTTTATGGACGTGAATCTCGTTAAATTAATGACGCTGATATTTCAGTGGTTTATTTCCGATATTGTCCATCGCTTTCTTTCATTTGGGAAACATTGAGTTTTATCATGTCTAGTGATATTGTTAATTAAATAATTCTAACCAATTTATATTTCTCTTAAATATCCTCTTAAAATATTTTGTTTGGTACTGTTAATGTGCTAACAAGGATTTCCACCGTCTCACTAGTTCTACCCTTTCTGTTTCTCTACATTCCTTAATTATTCGACGTTGGCAACATTCTCACGATCCTCTATCATCCTTATCTCGTCCCTTATAACTACCCTTTCATGAGCGCAGAAGATGTCCGTAGTTAAATTTGAATATCATTTCAGTTATAATTACAAACAAACCTAGAACTATTTGCCTGATTTATAATTACACTATATTTTAAATTTAATATTCGTAAAATGATTAAATATCTATTTATAAAATGATAAAATTCACAAAACGGTTTTACTTATTTTATATAAGTATGGAAATTAATGAAATTCCAAGTAAGTAAATAAAATAAAAAGAAATTTATTTTTGAGTGTGTGAAAAAAAATTATTTAGTTCATTAGAAATTACTTAAAATTTACTCAAAAATTAATTGTAAGTACAACGCGTGAACTCGATTAAAAGTTATACAGTCATTTTTTTACTAGAGCATTTTTATGCTGAAAATTAAAACTATTTATTTAATTAAAAAGGTTATTTTTTGTACATTTGAATACGGATTTATTGAAACTGCATATAAATATTATTTTGAAATTAACTAATTAAGTTTAAATGAAAAAACACATTATGAAGCTAAGCATAGTTTATAAAATTAGTAATTATTAAATTGCCACAAAAATGTTGAACTTTTAATAAAAAATTAAGTTTTGCTGAAAAGAATTTATATTCATTGGATATTTATATGTGGTTTTTTTTAGAATAAAATTATAATGTTGAATAATGAATAGGAAGATGTGGTTAAACGAGGGTTGAATTAATTAAATAGTTATAATATAAATACTGATGCATTTTATAAAATGGGTCCTTCATATAAAAGTTCATGTAAGATAATTTTTTATCATTTATTATTTGATTAATCAAAAAGTAAATATAATATTTGATAAATTGAGAAAAAGAATAACTAAAAGAAAAAATTTTAATATTACATTTATTTTTCGAGTAATTAAGTAAAACTGATCTTCCTGTCCTTAATTTTTCTAGATCAATTTTTATTTTAAATATATCAAATGTGGCGATACAATGGTCTTTGCTTAACCTTTCATCTTATTCCAATTTCGGTTCTATCTTTTTATTTCGTGTTTTTGGGTTTATTTTGTTTTCTTAAATACTATATATGCTTTTTTTATTTGCAGTGAGGTTTAAAACTTTACAAAATATACTGATGAATTATTCAATTTTTTTCTTTATACATAACCGAAGGTCGATATTTTTGTTTGTGAATAGTAATTGGTGTTTGCGAACGGTAACAATTTTTAACACACTGTACGAATATACTGACCAGTTTGTTTATGTTTTTGTACTTTTTTAAGAAATAGCATATAAATACCTAATTTTCTTGAAAAATAATAAAAAAATTTAAAAGACTAGAATGTATTTTATGAAATAGTAATATTTGTGATAGAAGCATCAAAAAAAAAAATCTTATTGGGATATTATAAAATATTTTTGTGTTATTCCTACTAAAATAAAATAAAAAATCGGCCTCACAAAATATACTAAAATTGTGTAAATTATAATATGACTATGCAATAATCTATAGAGTCATAATTATTTTCAATTTATTTAAAAAATATTTACTGTGTAAAAAACTCGAGTATTAGTAAAGAAGAATAATATCAACAAGCTACTTTTTAGTGTCATAAAAAATATTTTAAAGGATTAATTTATTTAAATTTTTTAATTACCTCCAGTTACTATACATTTCAACTTCACTTGATCGCCCTCAAAGTAAGGTCCTGCAGTTTGGCGAATTTCTTCTCCATTATCGTTTTGAATAATTGGCTTTTGTGGAGGTACTGAAAATATAATATAAACACACATAAATATTTACATATTTCTGAGTATTTAGTCTGCTGTATGGTTTAATGCAATTAACATAAAGTTATTGACAAAAAATGATAAATTTTAAATGATGCTAACACTTGAAGTAAATAACAATCTTTTTCTTTTTCCTAGCCTTGTTCCAACATCTTGGGGTCGGCCAAGTCCCCTTAATGGAAATAATAATAAAGTGTTATTTTATTTTGCTATTAGAGTTTTATTTATTTAATACTATTAACATTGAACGTCTTTTCAAGATATGTTATTGATAGGATGGGAAATTCTATACAGCTCAGTGGAAATGAATAATCTTGATAATCATGTGTGAGGTACAATGTTCCCACCTGAGCTATATAGACCAAATTGAAATTATATTGAATATAGTATAACTCAAAAGTTCATAAAAAAATTACTAAAAAGTCGCGTATACGTATTTCGGGAGCAATTTTACCATTATCAACACTAAATACATACTGACAGTGACAATTTTTATTTTTATTTATATTTAGTCTATCAGCAAATTCGTTGGAGTATAATGCATTTCGAATAATTAATAGTAATTAATTATCATTTTAAGTAGAAAATCGTTGTACTAGATGAGTGCTGATTATCTAATTAAACTGATACCAAAACAGAATTACAAAGTAATTGCATTAATTTCATGTATATGTAACGGAAATTTGTAGCATAAACAATAATTTATGCGCACAAACGTAATATTATTATGTTCATTGCCTTGGTTAATAAAAAATTATTTAGATTTTGACTAAAATTTATGTACCACGGATCGTGACACATTTGTGTGCTATTTATCTTTATTAAACGTTCGTAGTTCGTTCAAAGCTTTTTGTACATTATAAAAATATATCACAGCTTGTTGCTGTTTGACGGAAAATTATAGTGCTATTAATATATTTCCAAGTTAAGACCTGTTAAACAAAATAGCGTGCAACACATTTCAATGCAGTTATACGGCGATGGAGCCCATTGTAAAGTTAAATGTTTAAAACTGGCGAAAAACGTGTGTCCTAAGCAGTTTTTGTTGATGAAATGGACAGATCTACACGTCTCTCAAATCCGGCGAGTATAGAAACTTTAAATTACTATCAAAATGAAATAAGTTCCACGTGTTTGTTTTGTCCTCATCTATTCGTTGACATCGTATAGCCAGGCCATGAACGTTTTTCGCAATGGTAGCTTAACTTCAAACGAACATTATGTTACAAAATCACAAAAGAAAAATGAAAAAAATATTGGTTGTACAAAACTGTTAACTTGTTTAAACCAAAGGTCTTAAAATGATATGAGAGCACGAATAAAAATCTTATACGTATAAGTAAAACTTGAAGAAATCTCATAATGTTTTAAGTCCATTTTAACAAGTGTTACCAAAAATATACAAAATCATTTAAAATAGCTTGTTATAAAAATGTGCATTTATCAAGTCTACATAGTATATTTGATTTTATTTCCAAAAAGTTTTCTCAAACTGTCATTTAGAGCTGCAGTAAATATTAATTTATATTATAAGCATGCAAATTTGTTTAATATTTTATATAAACAAATCATATTGTAAAAATAAATATAACAACTTATGTACTTATATAAGAATATAGTAGTTATATTATAGTTAACTATCTAAATTTTTTGTTTAGAAAATAAGTAACTTTTTAACAACAACTATGTCATACGTATTATGATTTGAGGTTACTCAAGTTTTAAAGACAAAAGAAAATTGTTTACTGCACTTAATACTAAGTACCTAAAATAATCAAATTTAATCTGTTTTTGTAAGCATTTTCTAAATATTTGAAAATTACATCAGTAGAAAATTTAATTGGTATAATCTGGAAGTTTATTGATAAATTGTTTAGTCAATACTAAATTACATTCATCATCAAAACATGCATATTTATATGATCAAAGATAGTGACAATAATTTAAGCTAAAATTATTTATTTTAGGAAAGAAGTTAATAGTTATATTACTTGATGGAAACATGAATTTACTATTTATAACAGCCATATATGACAGTAGTTTTAACATATTTGAGATATCTCTATACTAATTAAATCCGTATTATGTTTATGACTTGTTATAAAGTCAAGAAACTTTTAGTCAGAAACCACGTAAACACATATAAAATGTTCATTGCCTTTTACGAGTATGTTTACGTTAAAGACCAACGCCGATTTTAAAAGACTTATCTCATTTTCTCATGTAGGTTAATGTTCTAAGCTTTGTAATTAACATTACTATTTAGCTTTTATACGAGAAAATACTATTTATTAAGATCCTTGTTTTTAGATCTAACTTCTCGAAAAGTTTTGACCTAACAGAATATAAAATTTCACTCTAAATTTACAACGATTAAACATTTCATATCAATACATAAAATGGTGTACTACAATGATTTTGGTAAATATACAGAGTTCTTTTATAATTAAAAAGCTGAAATCGGCTACGTGGTTTACTCAATTTAAGTAATTAAACGTTGATTATAAATTGAAATATTTAATTTAAGTTGATTATTGATTAGATGAATTTTTATTTTAAAGAAAATCTCTATATAAACGGTCTTAAATTTTTAAGCAGAAAATAAACCATAAGAACATACTTTTTATAAAAAAAAAAAATACATCGTGATCAAATTTAAAGTAAATGTAATCTCTAGTAAAAAATCTTTAAAAACACACACAATAAGGAAATATCCATTTATATTAGAAAAATGAAGAAATATTTTTCTGACAAACTCGTGTACAAATACAACCTCTAAATTCAAGAATTTACCTGGAAAACGCGATTAAATATTCTATTTATAAAAAAATGATTTATGTTTTTCAAAAAAAAAAAAAAATAATAAAACAAACGCGTAAAGCAATTTATGTATTTAGGTAATCTGGTAAAATAATATTTGATATTGCCTCGAAAAGTAAAACAAAAAAGAAAGTAAAAACGAAATAAAATCTATGCTTTTTTTGTCTTTTTTCTAGATATTCAATATGTAACGCTTTAAAAATTTGTTCACTGTATGTAAATTAAAATGCTACTATTTCTTTTATAGCTAAACATCTTTATGTACCCAAAGCTCAATAATATATGTAATGAAAATTAATTTATTTATTAAGTGATATAAAAACCAAAGTGTATGGTTGGGTTGGGTTATAGGTACATCGGTTACATACCTATATTATCCATAACACATTTTATTGAATGTGTGATGAATTCACGTTATCATAACATCTTCTTTTGGTAGTTGAACCATTCCACTAGGGAATAAACCGCCTCCCGAAAAAATTGAAACGTGGCTGCTGTAAAAGGAATAAAAATTCCAAGCCAATACAATAACGTTTCTCTTATTTCACCTTGTTTTCAGCAAGTATTAAACAATCGATCTAAATCAAAGGTTACTATCTCAATTTTCGATTATGGTAATACAACTGTCAACAACCTTTCTAAAGATCAAATGAATACGTCGGCAATACTAATTATAAATAGTGATAATAACCAACCCGAGGCCGTTATTTCAAACAATAAGGTAGTAATCAGAACATAATTGTACAATCAAACCTAACCAGTAATACATTTGCTCCAATCCAAACTGACATCAAACATTTTTTTCAAATAATCATAAAAATGATAATATTATCAATATTTTTACTGCAATAATTTTAATATTGGTAATTATTACTTGATATGTAATATTTAAATTAAAAAAAAAAAAAAATTGTCAATTGGTATTTTCTGAAAGTTGCCAACTTTTTTTGTCAAATTTTAACAATATAATAAATATTAAACAGTCAGGTCACAAAAAAATAGAAATTACTTCATCTTAATTCAACTTGAATCGTTAAACTGATCTTCCTTAAAGCACAAATACGTTCTTGTTTATTTAGATAAAACGTTAATTCTGACGTTTTTCCAAATGTTTGATAATTTACATAATATAACTAGTATTTACGTTAATAAAAAAAAAAAATTAAATTAAATTAGGACAATTTTTACTTTAAAAGCAGAATTTACAACTTTTTTTAGTATAAAGTAAATTTTAGACAACATTAGCAATATAGCTTTTCAAATACTTATCATGAAATGAAACCCAATCCAAATATTATTTCATAATTATTATAACAATTGAAGTAAAAAAACATACATATATGTATAAATTATTATCACTTTTAAAAGCACAAACTGCAACTTATTTTGTAAAAAAAAATATTATAAAAAACAAATATGAACATACTTTTAAATTATTAAGTAATGTAAATTATGTTCCTATTCAATGATTTCCAGTTATAATTATAATATTAGCTCATATTATTTTGTTAATACTTTTACTATTTTATTTCATAATATAAACTTTTAAAACCAAATTTATTTATTAAGCTAATGTTGTAATTGAAACTAAAAATCATCTTCAGAGTCAGTGTAATCAGTAGATACCGAATGAATACTAATATTATTTTCGTTAATATTACTAACAATAGTTTTTGAATTCTTTTTTTTACTTGAACCGTTTTTTTAAATATGTTGAGGTTAGTCCTTATTGCTATTATAGTCTATTTCTATATTAAGTGTTTAATTTGCCAAAAATACACCAATTTCTCTCACATGATGCTGATGAACAAGATTAACTTATTAACCTGGTGATAATTGGGCATAGTGGTTCACTGGTTGCCAATCCTTTCCACCAAATATCAGAGTAACAGTGTTTAGTTGTTTCATATTATTATTAGTATAGACAATATTAAAACTATTTAATAGTTAATATATAAAAGTGTCAGTCATTCCAGAACGTTTTTAATAGTTAAGTTGAAAAAGTTGCCATTTTGATACCCTTCCTGTTGGCTGGTAAAGGGTCAAATGTTTACAAAAATATATCAAATGATAGTTAAATACCTAAGGTATCTATAAAAAAAAATTATATTGATTCGGTTATTTTTAAAAAAGTTTTAAGTAAAAAAATTGAAAATTA